CTTTTGGTCCAGTAATTGTTAAGGTTTTTTGGACCTTAGTGGTCTTTTGGTCCAGTAATTGTTAACGTTTTTTGGACCTCAGTGGTCTTTTGTTCCAGTAATTGTTAAGGTTTTTTGGACCTCAGTGGTCTTTTGGTCTAGTAATTGTAAAGGTTTTTTGGGCCTCAGTGGTCTTTTGGTCCAGTAATTGTTAAAGTTTTTTGGACCTCAGTGGTCTTTTGATCCAGTAATTGTTAAGGTTTTTTGGACCTCAGTGGTCTTTTGATCCAGTAATTGTTAAAATTTTTTGGACCTCAGTGGTCTTTTGGTCTAGTAATTGATAAGGTTTTTTGGACCTCAGTGGTCTTTTGATCCAGTAATTGTTAAAGTTTTTTGGACCTCAGTGGTCTTTTGGTCTAGTAATTGATAAGGTTTTTTGGACCTCAGTGGTCTTTTGGTCTAGTAATTGTAAAGGTTTTTTGGGCCTCAGTGGTCTTTTGGTCCAGTAATTGTTAAAGTTTTTTGGACCTCAGTGGTCTTTTGGTCCAGTAATTGTTAAGGTTTTTTGGACCTCAGTGGTCTATAGGTCTAGTAATTGTTAAGGTTTTTTGGACCTCAGTGGTCTTTTGGTCCAGTAATTGTTAAGGTTTTTTGGACCTCAGTGGTCTTTTGGTCCAGTAATTGTTAAGGTTTTTTGGACCTCAGTGGTCTTTTGATCCAGTAATTGTTAAGGTTTTTTGGACCTCAGTGGTCTTTTGGTCCAGTAATTGTTAAGGTTTTTTGGACCTCAGTGGTCTTTTGGTCCAGTAATTGTTAAGGTTTTTTGGACCTCAGTGGTCTTTAGGTCTAGTAATTGTTAACACATTACTGGTCCAGTCAGTATTTCAGCTGTCTTTTACACTGAGTATTACAAAATTCATTCATCTACACTGGTCATTTGGTCCAGTAATTGATGACACTTTACTGGACTTAACCATTTATTACTGGACATTGCCACATATCTGACAGACCTTGGGAATGACTACTCATTACTTCCAAGCAGTTACGAACTTTGATAAAAGAGGGACGAAAGATACCAGAGGGACAGTCAAACTCATAGATCGAAAACAAACTGACAAAGCCATGGCCAAAAATAAAAAGACAAACAGACAAATAATAGTACAGATGACACAACATAAAAAACTAAAGACTAAGCAACACGAACCCCACCAAAAACTGGGGGTGATCTCAGGATATGTTGATAACATTCAACTGGTAATTTAGAAGCTGAATAACAATGTCACCTGACAATTCAACTTAAACAATATAGAACAGAAACATTATGTAAATGTACTTACCTTGCCATTAAATTAAAATGAATAATTCCCATATCTGCTATTTCTCATATATAATTGAGAAATTCACTTATCACAAACAAAAGCACTGACTCTAGTTCTGAGCTTAACTTTCCATTACATTTAATAATAGCGATAAACAGAAAGAAAGTTTGTAGCTTAGCAATCCTGACTACTTTATATTTTCTGTTGCTTCTTAAAAGAATTATTATGAAGAAGATGTTTATATTGATTTTCCGTCAATTTCTACACTGCATTTAAGGCTAATAAACTTGACACATGTATAGAGGAAGATTTTTCTAACATGCTGCTTTTCACATGTAAAAATATATGCATTTATTTAGTTAACAACAGGACATAAAGCAAGGTTGGTTTTAAATTATTCATTTCTTTTGTGAGGTGGTTTTAAAAGCTTAAGTTTTATCGCTACATGTAAATCAAACACTGACTTTTGAATAAAATTAAAAAGAACTGATATTAGTTAACAACTCGGTAACATTGCTCTATTGTGAAGATTTTTTAAATACTTAGCCATTCAGCTTTCATTGTTTTGGTTTTGAAAGTAAATACCAGCACTGAATTGACATATTGACTTTTAGAATAAATCAAATGCTCCATGTCCAATGTGAAGGTCGTCTTTTTGATGTCCCTAATACATAATACTATTAATGACGTAACTTAGCAATTCCAAAGTGTAAAATGTTATCTACTTTTAGTAATAGTCTCGTAAAATTCATTGCTATCTTAAGAAATCTAATTAAATGAGACCAAAGTCACATGTAAAGGAAAGATTTCAAAAGTTAACGTGCACCTTAACACATACAGTACTAGTTCCATGCTCTCATGGAAAAGCAATGTGTTAAAGTGTAATGAAGCTGTTTCTTTTTTCAAACAAAAAATTACACTTATGGCAGTTCAGCTTTTAATAGCTGCAGAACCGTAGGTCTAATGGTCATTATGACAATTTTTGACTATTTAAGGACCATATATCTGCAAAATGTCAAAAAATATCACAAGGACAATTAGAGCTACAGTTCAGCAGCTAAGCCTTCAAGAGACAGTAACCTTCCAGAACTAAATTTTCAACTTAAATATCTAATTTGCTGAGGATTCAAAAAGACAGATCAACTGATTCTGCTTTATTCCCAATTAAGTGAATGTTCAATGATGATTGATTGATTGATTGATTGATTGATTGCTGTTTGCTGTATTCTGCATTGTTAAGTGATGAATCCTGTAACTATCTTACATGTATGTCATGAACTTTCCTGAGTCAGCTTTTTTTAAGGATTTGCTCAATATGCTGAAGAAAAGGACAATATAAAAATAGGGAGATGAGGTATGATTGCCAATGAGACAACTATCCACCAAAGTTAACAAGTAAAGTGGATGTAAGCAATTATAGGCACCCGTGAGAAAACACCCATACTGTATAGTCAGCTATAAAAGGCCCTGACATGAAAAATATGAAGTTCATTTTTTGCTTGGATAAATTTTCACTATGAACATGATTAATTGAAAGTTTTTCCATGACTGCTACTATCAGCCATGCCAGCTGGCTATACTACATCATTTACATGTATGTAAGGGATTTTTTCGTACATGTAGTGGGAAAAATAGCGAGAATTAGACACAATAACACAATATACAGTATATATTTTTTTAGAAAATAATGTCCATATTTATTTCATTTGTATTCTTTCTGGTTAATACAAAATTTTTATTTTTTTATTTTTTGTAGTAATGTTTCCCTCAATTGCCTTGCAATTGAAATTCTGTTATCTTGATTAAATCTTCTTCATAACAAAAAAAAACCAAAATGACTATGAACTTTGAAATATTTAAATGTACTTTAGTATGATTATAAATTATTGCTTCAGACGGATATCAATATTGATTTTGGTGACACTTCTATATCTTAATCTGATTTATTGAAATTTAACTTAAAAAACAACTTTTCAAGTCCACATGAAAACTATCACGTCCACACTAACCTAATTCTACATTTTCTAGTCTTGAAATGTCAGTTGAATTATTTACAACATCTAAGTCCCTTGATTTTTACTTCAAATAACATTCTAAGCCTATGCAAAAAAAGCATTGATAGAGACAGTAATCTGGATGGCAGACCTGTGATTGGTGGAAAAAACACTCTTGATTCATGACCATGACACAAGTTACCATAGGGATATACATACAGAGTGTAAAATCACCACAGAGAGTCACTGTGTGTGTTCTGTATTCTGTGACAAACCACATAATAATAAAAGAAGAATGTGTCAGAGAACACGAATGCCCACGCTCAAGCTTTGCAACGATAATAGAATGGATGGACGGAAAGACGGAAGGTCAAGGGTAACACTTAATGCCCCCGTCTCCTACGCTTGAGGCATAAAAAAAAATCTGTTGAAACTGATATACTCTCCCTTCCCTCTTAACAAAAATAATCTTCTGTATTATTCTCTACAGAATATCAAATTCAATAATAACAATATATTCATGTCTTCAACCAATTGGGAAGTTCATTTAAAGAATATTTCCCCCCTCCCATTCTAATTTATCAATATAGCATTGAAACCTTGAAATATTCAGGCTATATTATAATCTGATAAAACACATACAATGTATATATACAGACCAATTATCAGTATTTTGATTAACCATTTTTTTAAATAGAAATCAAACAATTCTATTTTTAACCCTTTTACTAAAATTGATTTTTCACCTGTGCTAGATATGACAGTTATATTAGATTCACCACACAACATAAAACTGTTTATATATTTTGATAAACAATGCATTATTAGAATAGGGCATCATTGTTACTATGAAAACTAAACAATGTAACATGACCTTTCTATGGCTTTTAAATTATGAATTTTTAATAATGACAATTGTAAGTTTCCAGGTATTTCCCAAATGATCAAGTGTTATTATCATGACTGAATAATGACAGCCTAGAATCTGAAGCATTTTTTACTTATATCTTACCAACGTGATAAGCATTAGGAATGTAAACATTCCGATATATGACATGTATGAATGAAATTGACTTAGAACATTGTGCATGAGGTTTACGTCTTGCTTTAAAATGTGCTGTGTCACATGCTTAATTTTACTGTTTTCAAAATCTACATTTACGTTCAAATTCTTAAATTCTCAGAAAATACAAGAAATGTATAATCAAAACATCTAAATAGAAAAATTATTCTAAAATCTTTTATTATGAGTTGCATTACTCAGCTAAAAAAAAAAAAGAAAAACGGGTTATTGTAAATATAAAATTCAAATTCTGGAAAAAAGAGAAAAAAATACCAATGTTGCGATTAATTTAATCATAAGATGACGAAAGACAGACATGATTACATTATTTGCATTAAAATACATTGTAGAGATGTGAGATTGAAGTCAAGGAGACAGCAAGCCAACCACACTAAACTTAAAAGACAACTAAGTGAGGGTGAATATACGGACTTCAACAATAAACAGATGTTTTGTCTCGGATCAATATGTGCTTTGGGTTGCTGTCTGTTAAATGTTTTCCTGATATCCCTTTTTTTTGCAAACTTTTCTCTTTTGAAAAAAAAAATTCCTCCTTTCATGCTTTTGAAAAAAATTGCATTCTTGTAAAAAATCTTTTTTTAGATCACATTCTCTTTTTTATAAATTCCCTACAATAGAACTTACCAAAATATTTCAAGGTCTCATCGATCTGTTCATTGGTCAGTTCTAGATCTGCATCGATCGGGATCAGTGGAGTCTGGATCCAGTCTTCGTTATCATAGCCGCAGAATTCAGTAATACTATCTGACCGTAAACGATATTTAGGAATCTGTTCCTCAATCAAACTTAATATTTCTACTTCTGGGAGATTTCCACTGCTACACAATTCTGGAAAGAAAAAAAATGTTTAATTCAGAATTAAATTATATTTATTATATTATATCTGATAAAAAAAATATTCCTCAAAGTCATCATGATCATGGTTACAGAATTCTGCAAAGACAAAAATTTCATCTCAGAATTATCATAGAAGCATTAAATTATATCTATTATTTTATATCTCATCAAAAAATATTCCTCGAAGGCATATACTGTCATCATGGTTACGGAATTCTGCCAAGAAAGTAATTTTGTCATTAAATTCTTCATGAATCTGATTAAACAATTTATATGTATGTAATGCCTTGTTCATGATTTTTTGTTAGGCATGAAGTCATAAAAAAATAAAAAACTGACCTGGTCAGAAGGACAATGACCAATGCTATATAGAGGTTAGGCCTGAAGATTAGATAGGATTTGCAATGCAACGTGCACATATGTACAAAAATTTACATTTTAAGTGAATGACCACTGTTATACGAGACCAGCTGGCACCTTTCCAATTTTTCTAGAAGTCTTTGAAAACTAAAGCATGTTATGTATTTTTTTCAAACGTTTATGAAAAAATCAATAAATTATTAGAAAAAAAATGAAGCAAGCATCTGGAAGAAAAGAAGCATCCCAGGACATAACTTAATGTGTATGTCAAGGCACCTGCTCTCTAAAATCTGCCACAATTGGTGCACTTTTTATTTGTTGATGTTCTTACCTATTTACAAAATTTAAATTGCAATGGAATAAAAAATTCTTATGATAATGTGTGAACATTAGGCAATTTTTGGGGAAATTCTATTGGAAATGAAATTTATTGAGTTTAAACTGACTTTCAGCATTATTGGCTTTATTTTGGTGGTTAGTTTTGATTGGTGAAGGGATCTAGATAGAATACCCAGAGAGAACCCAGTCCTTCAACAATTAAAATTTGTGTGAAATGCACCTGCCACATACAGGATTCAAACTCACATTATTTTGTAACCTCAGTGTTAAACTGGTGATGAAGCAGATGGACTACTAAGACCACACTGCGACCTAGGCCCTGCGTCATATCCAAATATTTTTGAAAAGTGTGAAATGACAAGAAAACACTTTGGAAAACACGTGACCAGAAACAGTCAACGTAAAATACACATTACAGGTCTGAGGATATTTCTTGAAAATTTATGGACATAACAGGAAGCCACCATTGGACCCAATATTTAAACACGGTTTGTACTAGCCTCTTTTAATTAACATTTGTTTCATATGTTGTAATGTAATAATGGTCATACATGTATCAATTCATAAAATACTCAGACTTTGTGCACAAAATTTGTGTGTATTTGAAAAACAGCAATCCTTGTGACAGTGTTGAGCAAATCAGAAAAGAAAACTTAGCAATGATTTAATTGAAAAGTAAAATGTATAAAAAATAATTGTTTTTATTTTTTCTTCTGACAAATAAATTGATAAAACAACCTAAGTTGGGCTCTTGCAGACCAAGATAGTTACAATTCAACATGGCCTTTCTGTGAACTTTAACCTGACCCACTTAACTTGTATAATTTGGCAATAGTACATGTAACTATGATAATTAGTTCTAATTCACAATTTTGCCCTTTTTTTGCTAGACATTTATTTATCTTACCGTTGAAAAACTAATAAAGTCTTAATTTTTCCAAGTCACTCTACACATTAAATTTCAAATTAATAAAATAAATTTAAATGAAGACAAACCCACTATCTGGTATACTATATATATATATATGTTATCAAGATATTGGCTTAATCAATGTAAGCTCGTCACTTTTGTAAACAAAACCTCATGCATGATATTAACGCTTTAAAGTTTTAATACATGTCCCCAATACTATACACGTATTATCAGTCCATGTATGACGTTTTTTGTGCAGGGACACACCTGCATGAGTAAATACAATATGAAATAAATCAATGCTGTTAAAAAGTTTTATTTAAAATTTGATAACAAAACAGATATATGTTTCAGTGTATGTTCACTGGTGTTTTAACATGTCTTTTGATTGAGTTAAGCCATTTCAATTGATATTTTATAGTGTGTCTTTCTATGTTGTGATGTTACACTATTGTTTCAAAAAAAGGGTGAAGGTTTGGTACCATTAAAAGATTTAAACCCGCTGCAATTGTTTGCACCTATCCTAAAGTCAGGAATCTGATGTTCAGTAGTTGTCGTTTGTTGATGTGGTTCATAAGTGTTGCTCGTTTCTCGTTTTTTATATAGATTAGACCGTTGGTTTTCCCGTTTGAATGGTTTTACACTAGTCATTTTTGGGGCCTTTTATAGCTTACTGTTCGGTGTGAGCCAAGGCTCCGTGTTGAAGACCGTACTTTGACCTATAATGGTTTACTTTTATAAATTTTGACTTGGATGAAGAGTTGTCTCATTGGCACTCATACCACATCTTCTTATATCTATGTGTTTGTTTACTATGTTGACAATTTAGAGTCGTTCCTTAATCTTTTTACCCAACAAGTACAGTATAACACAGCGTTACAGGCGAAAATCATTTGTGCTGTTGTTTTGATCTGAGAAGTCTGTAGGGTTTAGCTAGCTATAAAACCAGGTTTGATCTGAGTAGTCTGTTGAGTTTAACTAGCTATAAAACCAGGTTTGATCTGAGTAGTCTGTGGAGTTTAGCTAGCTATAAAACCAGGTTTGATCTGAGTAGTCTGTGGAGTTTAGCTAGCTATAAAACCAGGTTTGACACACCATTTTCTTTGGAAATGCCTATAACAAGTTGAGAATATGACAGTTGGTTTCCAGTCATTCTGTTGGTTAATAAAGTCAAGTACATATACTTCCCCTTTTTTAATTTTCAAGCCCCCCCCCCCCCCCCCCCCCCCCAAAAAAAAAAAGTTCAGTCAAGTAATTTTCAAATATCATTAGTTATACTCATACAGATGTTCCATAAATAAATTTGCATTCCAGCGCATTTTGGTCACTTCCTACATGAAAAAAGATCTGATATGGTGTGTGTGGTACATCTAATCACCACAAACCACAAAAGACCTGACCATATACAGAAGATTGAATACAACATATTTAAACTAACCTTAAAGATATATCAAAATGAGTCACATGTTTATCCTATCTACTGTGGTCAAAAGTATGAAGGAGGTAAATATTTATTTATATTTGTACATATATTTCTCCCACCAAATATTCATGTGCCTACACTAATTCAGGAACCTCACCAGTATAAAGTAAGGATATGTGGTATGATTGCCAATGACAACAGTATCCACCAGATACCAAATTATTTAGATGCTAGCAATTATAATATATGCTACTGTTATGCCTTCAACAATGAGCAAAATCCATACAGCATAGTAAAGGTATAAAAGACCAAGACATAACAAAATGTAAAACAATTCAAATGAGAAAATCAAAGGCCTTATAATTATGTGTGTACAAAACAACAAATAAAAAACAAATATGATATATAGTAGCAAACAACAACCACTGAATTTTAGGTTCTTGACTTGGAACTGGCACATACATTCTGGTAATGTGGCGGGATAAAACATGTTAGCAGGCACCCTACACCTCCCCTAAACCTTAAGAATATATCAAAAGTAATTTGTCTTCTGTTATTATAATCTTAAAATCTTAAAAGAAATAAAGGGTTCATAAAATTAAATTTTGATGATTAATCTCTATTATTCCCTGTTTAATCTCGCTGGTCGAGTGGTCTAAGTAGTCAAACTACTGTATCACTTGCCTGTCAACACTGAGGTTACGAGTTGAATCTTGCAAGTGGCAGATGCACTTGACTCCAATCTTAATTGACTTGGATTAAAATTTCTTATCGAAGGTCGGTGGTTGTCTCCAGGTAGTCCGGCTTCCTCCAACAACAAAAACTGACTGCCAGGACAAACCACTAGTGCTGAAAGTGGTGTTAACACCAATCAATCAATCTTGACGGGTAGCGTTTTTTTTTTGTTATTTAAAGTTAGTAAGATTTTCTGGATATTTCAGAGCTTGAAATTGTATAATGAGTCTCTACTGTTTAAGGCAGCTGTATGCTGTCCTCTTTCAGTAATTTTTGGAGTTACATGTAGGTTTTTCTGGCAGATTTTTTTGTCTTTTTTTGTTATTGGTTTGCTGTCTCATTAATGTTAACCCCACATCTCCTTTTATGTGACATAATCATCATTTTGGATGCACCGATGGCTATTTAACGTCCTGTGGCAAATTAAATGCATATTCAGGACGAGACCATAATAATTATGTGATATGAGTTTAAACCCTGCTCTATACAAGACCAACATGCTGAGCCAGATATTTTACGTGCTAGTTCACAACTAACCACCCAGGACATGTAGGGACAAATACCAATTTTCAAGTTGTTCATCATATTGGACAAATCACTAAAATCAAGCATCTGTATTTCTCTTTTTTTTTAAACTTTAAAGTCATTTGGATTTTTTTATCAACAAAATATTCCAATTTATGACTCTTCTGATAATTTCATGCTTATTTAGACATGTTAGAGCTGGTTCAGTTATCTCCCTTCTATTTAAAAAAACTTGATAAATGGGAGACAACTGTTGTTGTAAATATGTTTTTAATAGCTTTACCTTATTTAGTTCTTTCCCTTTTAACAAAAGTTTAAGAGTAAAAGAAAATATTTGTTCACATATTTTTATAAGTAATTAAAAAATTCATAATAATTTGATATATATATCTATGTCCCTAAGACCACAATTTAAACCATATTATGAGCAAAAAATATAAGATCATTAAGACCCTCAATTGTGTTAAGATAACAGATTTTATACAGATGTTTAATTTCTACTTTATTTCTGCAGAATGCCAATATACCTATACATTGATCATGAAATTGGGCCAAATCGATCAGCAAATTAAGATTGGTAGATATGCCTTTCTGGATTTATATCAAAAACATAGTTAAATCTTGATCTCTCTCCAGCTCCATGGAATGCATGTTATTTTAAAATTTACCTGAGGGCATACATGTACATGTATTTAA